AAATGATGGCAGATATTTCAACTGTTCAGAGGCAGTTGCACTCAGATCACATTCAAAGGTCACCTACCAGGCATGCGCTGCTATGAATTTCTTTTCTGCCACGTTTGGAATGCCAATATTAACTTGTCAAGATAATTGCTACAGTTGGGAGCTCCCATGACTGGCAACTGAGAGTTTATTAGGTATCTGAAGGCATAGGAATGTGCTCAGCAGGATTTATATGTGACATTGAATTAGCTGCAGACACCTTTCAGTGGGAGTTCAGACCCTTACTCAGCTTACATGCTTGTAAAATACTTTTCAGTGGAAATTGCTTACAAGTAAACATTAAAATCGCAGCTCCCGCAGTTCCATTTCTAACTGTTCAGATTCATAAATCTGACAAGTAAAATAGAGCTTCACACATAATTCTTAAATTTACACTTAAAATGATGAATAAGTAACAGTATGACAATACAATCAACTAATAATTTATTGCAATTATCTGTACGTACATATTTTGTTAGTGATACATTCCAGTTCAGATACGGTTTGTGACAGCTTATGACAGTCACATCAAGCAACAAAGACCACCTTATTGTAATCATTACTTTCTTCATAAATTCTCAAGTCCTCTTGGCAAACAATGAAGTTGATTAAATCCTTAAAATAATCACTGCTGTGAATGTACAGAAAGTGTTAGGCTACAGTTTTATACAAATTGCTTCTGCTCTTTAAGATACAAGCATCCTCTTGCTCTAAATAACTTAGAGGTATAAACATTAAATCAAACTTAATACCAAAGCAAATTATTGATTACTTATCAAGATTCAATGCCTTCATCTTCAGCTGATGAAAAGAATGATGCATCAGAAATGGAAGAGGATATAACCCATTAATTCATTCCACAAAAACAACAGAAATGGAAACATCTCGTGTCCTGAGTACATACTTGGTACATACCTACCTGGAGTGATAGCAGACTAGGACTTCGCATGTAATTTAGAGAAGAAAGTAGAGCATAGGAAAGCTATGTTTTATCTACCATGAATTTTTAATGCAACACCTGCCATTTATCCTAAGAGCATCCAATCAAGCATTCATGTTTCCCCAGAGGAACTTTCCATTGATGTTTTCCCATAGAAATGAATCAAAGCCAAGAGGATTTGAAAATTACTCATATAGTAGCAAAATGATTTGTGGGACTACTAGGTACATAGCTCACTGTAAACTACTGAAATAACAGTAGTAGTAGAAAAATGTTGACACATTTTCTTAGAAAGCTGTTACCTATTTCCATATAATCTTCCACTGACTCCTTAAAAAAAAAAAAATTGGGCAGCAAAAACATAGTATGCGCCTGCTATCAATGAAATCCCATGATTCTGGTACTGACCTTCTATGTGGTCCATTTCTAGCTGTTTTGTGCCTTAACTATGTAAGACCTTCTCACATACTGGCTATGCAACATGTGCCTCTACACACCTGAATGGCTAGGATTCCAACTAAGGTCTTTAGACAGTAGTGTCATGCAAACAAACAATTATATCAGCAACCGCGAATGCTCTGAACTGCTTTCAGACCATATCTGCTTAAGACACCTTGCATATGCATCTCTTACATCATTCACACAAGCATATTTCCACAGCACTGTGAGCATCCGTGATTTTTCATAAACATTTTATGAAGAAAAATATAAATGAAACATTTGTCAGTGCTGTCAGAGGATTTTTCTCTCCACCACACATACAGAGAAGCAAAAGGGCAACTGAAGTGTAATACATTTATTGGCCTTTTCAGAAACATGTTACTCACTAGGCCTGACCTATTCATTCAATGCACGGAAAGTAGGGGGCTTAGCAATGACATTTCCTGATAACCAAGTACCTTACAGATTGCAGCATAAATCAGCCATAGGTTTTTGTTGTCGTTAGAGCCATATTATTCTGCTTGCTATTTGGAGGTTTTCTTTACACTCTGATTTAATAATCTCATTGGCTTGAACTGATTTTGATTTCCAGTTACATTGAGACATTGGCGGCACCTTCTTTATGACAGTTTAAAAAGGCTGCTTTGACATATCTTGCACAAAAGTGACTGAGAACTTATTAATAATTATACTAAATGTATATTTCAACTCAGACATTGCCACTAAATTCTCACAAGATGGCGGCTTTGAACTTCATCAAATCATTTATTCACATGGCAGGGAGGAAAACAGGAAACATAAGCAGTTTTCTGTTCCCTGTTTTGGTAACTCCTTTTTCAGGACGAGGGAAAGGAAGGATGCTTTCCCTAACGTACAGATGGGATTTCTTTGCCACATCACTTCACCTTTGTGCTAGTAACTTCAGAAACTTTAAGAAAGATGTAAAACTACTCCAAGTTCAACAGGGATGAAGGCTTCAAGTATAGCAAGGCACACATTTAAGCATTTGATCTACAAGAATTTTACAATAAAGCACAAAGAAACACAGGAATCTTCAAATACGGTACAAAACTTTTTGATTTAGAGTGGTGCTGAATTTCAGTACGTTCTTTGAATAGAAGAGCAAAAAGTCACCTGAAAGGCTTGACACAAAAACTTGCAAGAACACCTTAAAAAGTATTGCCTTAATTTTTGGAAAAAATAAATGGAGATAGTTCTATGCTAGAAGTATTTAGAGGTTGTTGATATAGTGGTTGACCAGGACAAATCAGCAATGGATTGGGTTTAAAAGCTGAGACACAGCAACAAGTGAGCAGTGCTAGAAATTCTGAAGGCAACACCAGTTTGCAAGTAAGACAATGCCTAACGAAAACACTGCTTGCTGTGCCTGCCAAGCCTGCTGCTCCATAGGTTGAAGCACAAAGGCCAGATGATAAGCTGTTTTAAAAACAGCCACTAAACGTGTTAAACTCCTTAAGGTTTTAAAATGATGAAAGCAGTAGCTAACAAACCAACACAACTGAGAAGAAATAGATTCTGTGGAAATACTTTAAAAATGTGAGAAAACAGCCTTCAGAGGGAAAAAAAAAAGAGTGGTAATACTTGTACATTCACAAACCTGAGCTAAAAAATCTCAATACAAAACAGGAAACTAAAGGTGATAATTTGTCAGTGGACCCAATTGATATGAAGACAACAGGATTTTAAACCAATGCCACAGTGAAAAATCATGTACAAACTTCCTTGCAAGACCCCCCCAAAACATGACGTATTGTGACACTGATTCAAACCAACAGGATTAAACACTAACATTACACCTTAATCTAAATACAGATGAATTTTTTTCTTTTACAGTATCTAAGTAAACTTGTGTCCTTGCACTTTAAGGTAACCAACAGATTATCTAGTTTTATTACTAAGACAATTTACTTAACCGAAGGGTAATATTAAAAATGCATTTGATTACAGCTGTTGAGGTCACCTAGACATTTTGTTATGGAGAACTATTAGCTTTAGAGTTCTTCACAAGTTCCCTACTGTAAGTTAAAAACCAGTTTCATACAGAAAAATTCTGAGCTTCCAGCTGACATTAAATGAATCAGTATCTGTGCACTGAATAAAAATCCCAGTCACTTATTAAAATTGCAGTGACTTATTCAACAACAAGGTTCAAGAAAGACAAACGCAGTATAATAAACATCAGTGATCGGAAAGCACTGCCAATTTTGCTTCAGCAATCAAATAACCAAAATAAAATCTAACAAATGTAGTATTTTCACTTCTGAGAATGGTGTTAGTGACATTAACATCATCTAAACAACACACTTAACATCATCACAGAGCAAGCAAATGAAAATAAATATGTAATGTGACTGGTAAATAGATTTCACTAACTATATACTTAAATATTCTCACAACTTGCATTACAGCTTGCTTTCAGTACAAACAGTGGGTCTGTGGTGGAATAATTGCTACGGAATTCTTTGGACTGTAACTAATGGATATCAGTCTAAAGAAGAAAAAAGTGCCATTTGAAATGCTAAAAAAGAAATTTATGTGGACTTCTACGTTCTTCAGCTAAAACAGCTTTCAACAGGACATTTCAACATTTATTGCAAATGTGCCTTCGCATTCAGGAACGAAGGCAGAACTTGATCATGACAACCATCACACAGTGATGTAGGTATAGGCAAGAAAACATTTTAAATGAACACATGAACCACAGAAAATGAATTGATTTGGTGGAAATTAGTAGTAAAATGGATTCTACATCTTACAGCACAGCGTCAGTGAATGTTCCAGCCAGCATTCGAGAATCAACAAACTCTTTCAAAAATGTAAGCAGCTAGTATAACAAATGGCAGATTTCAGTACAGATTTCAATTTAAGTTTAGCATATGGAGAACCTATGTGTCCTGTACAATGCAATTCTTCTCCAAGTAGTGTAGTAGTAGTTAATTGGTTATATGAATATCAAGCTAACAAAATAAACACGAATACAACTAAGATCAATCTAAACTACAGCAATGGAAAGCACCCAACATAGGCAACACCAAATGCAATCAGTGTCATTATAGAATTCAGTAAAAATTCAGCTAATATAGTTGTGTAATACAAACAGACATCTCCATCATTTCGCAATGTGTTCAAACAGCTTATTTGATACGCCACTCGATAAGGAAGGCAAGGTAGTTTTGGACTTGGAAGGAATCCATGACAACCATCAGAATCAATTTTAAAACAGATACAATGCATTTTTGTGAAGCAAATTAGAAATTAAATTGAAGAAGGGTACAGGGAAGAGATATCCACCTTCTGTTGTTGGAAATTATAACACAAGCTTACCAAGGTCTTAAGTAGGTGGTTTCAATGCTGTGGACTTTCCTGAGATCCACATTAAATTAATCATTTTTATAACAAAACAAAAATCCCCAGGAATGGCTTGTTAAACACTAGAAGTAGCACAAGTGCCAAAATGAAGTCTCATAACAAATTCTTCACCCAAAAACCATGAGAAAGTTAACCACACCATAAAACCACAGATAACTATTTAGCATTTAACTTCCCTTCAGTATAAGACAAGATTTCCTACCTCAGCTTTGCCAGCAGCCAGTACCGTCAAAACCTGAAAATTACAGGAAAAAAATGCATTAGTACCTATTCAACAAAACAATGAGATTATTTGCTTTTTAGGTTTTTGTTGTAATGAATTGAAAAAACTAAACTGAAGAGAACATTTTTTCCACTTTTATACTGTGATTTAACTATTTACATGTCATGTTCGTAAGGACAGAAAAATAATGATAGAGAAAAGAAGTTTAAGAAATGGAGCAAAGCAGAATTAGAAAAATATTTTATATTTGTTTGTTTTTTTTCTGAACAAAGTAAGAATAACACAGCTGCAAGCTCTTTGAACACATCAAGACACTCTGAAGGATGTGTTTTAAAAATGACCTACAAAAAAATCAGTCTAATTGCAGCCTCGAGGCTAACCCAAAGTTAAAGCATATTAATAACAAACATTGTCCAAATTTCTCTTGAGCACTGACCACTGTGAGGCATCAACCATCTCTCTGCTGTCTACTGAGCAGCATCAGCTTAAGGAATTCTCCCCTTATGCCTACTCTCAAGTTCCCATGGCACAGCTTTGTACTGTTACCACATTATCAGGTGCTACAAGCACAAGCTGAGGTTGCTTTGCCCATGGCAGCAACTAGAAAGTGATGTTCCTGTCCTTATCTCAGCCTTAAAGCCTTATTTTCTTTGTCTCTCTTATTCAGAAGATGGACTGAGGTCCAAGTTCAGTGCACGACACACACCAGTTTCATGCAGGAACATACGACCTTCAACTACTTTACTGAAATTATCACACAATCACTAGTTCTGACTTACTGCAACCAAGGCTGTGCTTAGCACAAACATACGTATCACCTGAACAGCCAAGGAATTGTGGCAACAATTTGTCTCTGCCAATCAGGGAACTAAATTGAAGACAATTACAGTTCAGCATCTAAAGCTAGAAAAATACAGGTTTAGTTACTATTACAAACTTGCGTAACAGATCTGTTCTAGCAATAGACATAGTTTTCACTGATATTAGAGTAACATGAGCTCTTAAACCACTTAAAATGGACAGAGATAATAAAAAAAAATATAGATTCAATAGTATGCACGATGTCGTTAGCTGTGAAGCTTGTTAAAGTGCATTTGTAAAAAACGTTAGATGTTCATGTTACAACATTGTCACCATTTTACTACGTAGACAAACCCTTAATAGTCTCCTCAGAACTTCAAGACTGATACCAGCTAGCTGTAAGTCTACCTAAGTGAGAATCTCTCTCTATATTAGCATTAATAATCACTTCTCAAGAATATCACAGTAAAAGCTGAGTAGAATCAGCTTTAAGGAGTAGAAAAGGAACTGACCAAACATCATCCAGTTGGCAGAGAGGAAGAAGAGCTGGGTGTTTTCTGAATGGGACTTGGTGTACGTAGCCAAAAAGACAGTCTCATACATCATCCTTGTCTCTAAATCACGGAGAGACAGATTTGAAAGGTAGACTGATGGATGAGGCACTATCTGGATGGCCACATTCAAACAGTTGTAGTCAATGGCTTAACATCCAGGTGGCTATCAGTGAAAAGCAATGTCTCACTTTGGGAACAGTATCATTTTGTATCTTTATTAATGACAAAGTGAGATTGAGCGCAGCCTCAGTGAGTCTGCAGATGACACAAAGCTGAACGGTGCAGCTGATGATCTAGGAAAAAGGGACGAGATACTTAAAAAGTAGGCTTAAATGAATCTCAGCAATTTCAGCAAGGCCAAGTACGAGGCCTGAAAGTCATCACATCCATCCATTGCTATCATTCCAGTAGGCTTAACCATTGCACTGTTAGTGGCTCCTCACAAGAAACTCTTTATACTGATAATTCAGTAGATCCTCACTCCATTCACTAGAATTTAATCTTTCTTGGAGGAAATGACTAGACACACACACTGTAGACGATGTACCCAAAATCTAACCTAAAATGCTAGAATTTGAAGTGAGTTTCTTGATACTCACATGAATTTTACTCTAAACCATCTTTTAGAGCGGCTTATCTCTCTATCAAATACTTAAGAAACGTGACTACAAGTGAACAATATGACTACTCCAACCAAGGACTCTGTTGCCTTCCAAAGTAATTAAATTCTCTTCCATTTTGATAATTCACCTTCTATGTCCAAAGACTGTATTTCTTTTTTATACAATCATATTTTCCCATTGCTTTATAGCCCCGCAGTGGTCAACTCGATCACTGGATATATTATTATGTCCAGATCTTTCTTCACCAAGTTATTATCTCATAAATCCCCGCTCAGCAGTTGAATTCTTGTTAATTCCTTGAAGTATGACCTTTTACTTGGTATTACTAACATTAATTCACTTCTCTTTTACCAATCTTCTAGACCATCCATCTCTTGCTGGATAATACACCAGGCTTTTCTATATTAGCAGTTCCTCGCAGCTTCTCTTTTTATCAAATTTCATTAGCACGTTGTTATGCCAAGCATACTGTTGAAAAATTATCAGATGAAATGAAAAATGACTCAATACAGCAGTACCAGTATAGTGACTCTGGTAAGAAAAGCATTATTTGGAACAACGCAGCACTATACTGACACTTGTATAGCAGAGAAGGTTATGGTGCGTTCATACCAGATACATGAGTGAAACACTCACCAGGACAACCTACAGAGAGAGAGAAGCTGGGCATAGTGGTACAGAGTTACTCCTGGAAATTCTGCAGCGATTCTCAGACTAGATGGATACTCATCTTCGTATAAACAGAGGCAAAAAATGGAGCATTTCTGTTCAAAATAACGACATTCCTCAAGCTACAGTTTGTGAAACATTGATTTAATACTCTATCTCAAATTCCATACACAGAAGTACTGAACTGTCAGCCTGTGAAAACCTGAAAATTACCTAAAAGTTTCAAAAGATTTTCATTTTTGCTTACATATCTTAACACAGATATTTACTGCTCTATTTCTATAACTGATTTCTTCTTCCCACCAGCCCTGCTCCCCTCCCAGAGTTCCTCAAACTTCTGATTTCTAGACCAGCAGCTGTACCTTCTGTCACACATGAGAAACAAGTAAATGAAGACATGAGAGTACAGACGTGTGTGGTTGGGAAAGAATAGCAGTCTGGAACTGACTTTTTGCTGTAGGCTTTTACAAAAACTGCCTGTATGTCAGTGTGATTGCTCAATTAAATCCTCCAGGAAAGTGCTGCCAGATATCCTGCTCCTTAAGCAGAACACACACTGAGATCCATAGCCTGAAACACAGAACTGCTTTATTTATTCCCCCCTGGGCAATAAGCACTTACCATCCTACCTGGCATACCAATGGCTACCTGACTCTTAGCCTCAACAGGAGATGCAGTGACAAAATCTGCTAATAATTTAGGATATTACAAGCATTCACATCTAAATTAACAACATGAAATTTCTTCCTCTTGTCTTACCTCCCCCTGCTTTCCCTCTTTTTGGTTTCTGACATGTGAAACTCATTCTTACAGACAGGTGGGGATAAGGACAAGCCATGGAGAGGAGAACTGGAGTGTAAGCAACGTGCCTGTCACAACTGCTGGATCTTGCTTTCTAAGGCAGGTGGCTTCATTCTACCTGCCACAGCTTATTGTTCTTAGCAGTGATTTGTATTAAGCATAATGTTCTTTTACTTTCTCTTGCTGTGTCTCTGACATTTTTTATACTACTAAATAACAAGGCAATTTCAGCAAGAGAAACTGTAGCTTGGGTGAGGGACTCCTCCCTTTCCTCCAGTAAACCCTCTGTGACATAGAAAACATGGTCATATGCCACTTCCACAGGGAAACTATAGTTTTGTGTGTGTATGTGCAGTAGAAGATATGTGGAACAAATCATCACTAAAATGTTTTGTTTTTTTTTTAAATGTTTACTATTCATAAGATTGTACACAGTTACTTCCTATTCTGCATAAGGAATCCTGTGACTACTGCTGCAAATGGATAACATTGCAAATAAAATAAGAAATCTTTTAAATTGCTAGGGTTTTTTTGTTTGCTTGTTTGAGCATTTTGAAAGGTTCTCTCTTAGGGTGCCTGAAGAAGCATGCATCCATAGCTTTGATTCCCCCGAACTGCGCAGTAGACAGACACACTTGTATGACAGCTATGATTTGCACAAGGGCAGGAAAGCTATGATTTGCACAAGGGCTTTACGAATGGCTTGGCATTTATACAAAAACGTGAAATAGTACTTTTAATTCGTCTTACAAAGTTCAGGAAATTTTTACATTTACGATTTGATAATAGCTGTGCTGCAGCTATTCTTAATACACGAATTCACGTGCGCATTGGGACAGACAAGCAAGATTGATTGCCTGCTGTTTTTTCCCTTTTTTATTTGCTTGGAGCAGCCCTTAGTCTGCTTCCTGAGCATTCAGCACATACTTCTAATTGTGATTCACACTCCATGCTGCTGAACAGAATTTGAGTTGTTGGAGCTATCTTGTAACGGGTGTATGAGAAACTGGCCTTATACTGACTATCCCTCTCTACTTCTGCACTTCATTATGTGAACAGTTAAACCGCTGATAAACATTCAGCAGTGAAGCAAGCTGAAAAAAAAAAGCCAACAAAAAAAACCTATGTCTCTCTAATAACATCAAAGTGTAAGGTCTGACAATTTAATATTGATCACATTTAAGAAAATAAGCAAATCCATGTTGTATTACTTCCTAAAGCACCATGTCTGTCAAATATGAGACTGCAGCTAGTCAAATTTAGTGAAGTAATCGTGATAAATAGAGCTATATATCTCAACTGTTCATTTAACGCATTTAAATATCTCCTTCACCATAAGCATATGTAAATAGGCATGCAAGAGTTATTATCTCCCCGCTAAGCCAGTTAGGATTCATTAGGTTCTAATCACTGACTTCATGCTTTCCAATATCGCTTTTAAAAAGCAATCTGAAATTAAGTTTTACCTCTACATTCTTTGGACTACCAGGAAACCCTAAACCTCCAGTTATAAATCTAATTCTTACCAGGAAGGTGAGACTTGATCTAACAATTACCCACATAA